CATCGAGATCGGCCACAAGAAGCTCCTCAAGTACCCGTTCGAGTGGGCCATCTGGTACCCGGACGGCAACGTGCGCACCAACTGGTACACGCACACCCTCATCGTCTTCTTCTTCCAGACGCTGCCCGCCTACTTCGTCGACTTCATCTTCCTGTGCCTCTTCATGGAGCGCTTGTGAGTGATTCAACTGCATAATGATTGGTTATTTTAGCGGCGTCATCCGAGACCTCATACGTCTTGTCTAGATTCTATGAGTTCACGTTTAGCGTCGCTTCGTCTGAGACAGAGTGATCGAAAGTCGTGAGTGCGGGAAGGGGGGAGGGGGGCGAAAACAAAAATCTTTTTCCAACAGGCCGTCGATTTTGAGTGGATTTATTTAAGAAGGGGGGGGGGGGGGGCAGCAGTCTGGCGCTTTGGACGCGGACAATGGGAGCGCCGCGGCGCGAGAGAGCGGGCGGGAGCGAAGGGAAGATCGATGGTTGTCAACAAGATGCGTCTCAATGACAAAATCTCGGAGGACTCTCCCCCCGCGCGCGCCGCCGCCGCACCCGCAACCACCGCGCCCCGCCGCCGCCGCCTTCTCAACCCGTCCAGGTGGAAGCATGCCTCTCTTTCCTTCCTGCCTTGGGATTTTAAAGTCCAAATTTGTTTCAAAAAAACTTATCCAGAAAAAAAATGGAAGAAGTACAAATATTTCCAGAAATATGGGAAATAAACAAAAGTTTTCAAAATTAATTGGGGGGGGGGGGTAATTTAAAAGGAATTATTGGAAAAAATTCCTGGAAAATTGAAATCCCTGCTCCCTTCTGCCGCAGTCTGCTGGGCCGCCACCCCAACTGCTACACCTTCAGCAAGGCCCTCTCCGAAGCGGTGGTCGCCGAGTTCGCCGGAAAGAACATACCGATCTGCATCATGAGGCCTGGAATCGGTAAGAGTTTGTTATTTTTCGAAGAAAGATGTAATAGCTAGTTGGGGAAAATAGGACGAACTGGCTACAGCTTCAAAATGTTTCCGTTTTGCTTTTCAGTGACGCCCGCTTTCAAGGACCCCTTCCCCGGCTGGGTGGACAGCCTCAACGGGCCGATCGGCGTGCTCGTGGCCTCCGGCAAGGGCGTGCTGAGGTCCATGATGTGCAACGAGAAGTACGGCGCCGAGGTGATTCCCGTGGACGTGTGCATCAACCTAGTCATCGCCGCGGCGCACGCGCGCGCTCAAATGTAAGACATTAAACCATCACATGCATCATGCTCGAACGTACAAAACAACATTTTACAAGAAAAAAAAATCAAGGCAAAATATTTAGAGAAAGAGCAATGTAGTAAACATTTTCAAGACATCTTTTCATAAAAACAAGAATGCAAAATGTAAAAAGTTTTACACTTTGAGAAGTATAAAGCGCAGCGCGTGGCACTATACAGCAAGCAGCAAGCACGCGTACGTGTGTGTGGTGAAAATCGTTTCTGCGCCGCGAAAAAAGTACACGCATTATAACACCGCATACACAATGGGAATCGATTGTCGTTCTATATCTATCCCACACACGAAAACGTGCAAAGAAATTAAAAGTCCGGCGCGGTGGGGCTGCGTGATTGCGCAATGCTGCTGCTGCTGCTGCTCACACGAGCCTGCAGCCGGCTGCACGCAGCGCCACGCACTGCCACGCCGCGGCCCTGCAAGGCGGCTGCAAGCCCTGCGCACAGAAACAATTCTCGCATTCCGGGCACACACCGCTCTGGCCTGGCATGTCCCCAGCCGCGCTCGGGCACACACGCACGCACGCACGCACACTAACGACTCTAACGAGCCAACCCGTTGCCTCCCCCTTGCCCCGCCAGGCCCCGCCAGCTGCGCGAGGTGCCGGTCTACAACGCGTGCACCGGCTCCAAGGACCGGACGACGTGGAGGCAGGTCATCGAGATCGGCCACAAGAAGCTCCTCAAGTACCCGTTCGAGTGGGCCATCTGGTACCCGGACGGCAACGTGCGCACCAACTGGTACACGCACA